ACCCTCCTCCCTTCCGCCTTCGCTGTGTGCTCCCCTGCTGGGGCGCCCTCTCCCAGCCCGGCCACCTGACAGCTCCCCTCCCACCTGCACATTATTTATGTAGACACCAGTGCGGAGCACAGATGAGCTTTCCATCTGGAACGGTTTATGTACCTGGCAGAAAAGGAACGGACCTCTATCAAGGACCCGTTGCGAGCCCAGCATTTCACATACATCATCTCCTCTGTAAGCCCCGGAACAGCCCCGGGCAATAAATCTCACGCCTCCTATTTTCCAGATGAGAACACTGAGGCCCAGAGACAGGAAGTGTCTTTTGCAAGGCTACACGGGAGTGGGGCTTGGTTGAACACCACCCTCCCCCGCCGCCAAATCTGTGATGGCCGCGCCTGCTGCCAACACTCCCTAAGAGGAAGCTGCTTCGCTGGTGCCAGGGACTGCAGCATTTCACCCAAGGCTGTGTGACGGAAGAGGGGACCCCAGGCAGAGCCAGGGCCACAGGTCTCTGCTGTAGAGGGGGCAGGGTGCTGCCCCAGCCACAGCCACCCCATCCTGCAGGGAATGAGCTCCTGTTCCTGGGCTGTGCAAGCAGAGCCTGCGTAAGGAAGCTTCACCGGGCCATCAGGCAACTTTGGGGCAACCGCTGTTGGCCTGGCCCTGGCGTGGCGCTGGGAGTACAGCAGGGGACAAGACAAAGCCTGCGCAGACCCCCTGCCGCTCCCGGGTCCCTGGAGATGTTGTGGGGCTTCTGGAGGCAGGAGCATCAGGACCACGAGAACAGGCAGTCCAGCTCTGAGATTCGAAGATGCTGAAACGATGCTGGGCAAAGAATCACAAATGTTGCATGGCTCACCGTTTGAGTGTCACTCAACAAGCCATCGGTGACAAGTTGCTCCCTTCTCTCAGCCTTGGTTGCTCCATGGGTACAATGGGGGCCCCGGGCCTGGGGTTTCCTGCCCTGTGTGTGCAGAGGAAGGGAAGTGGATCAGAACCCCCATCCCCCGGGAGCAAACACCCTGACCTGTGTGCACACCAGGGCTGCCAAAGTCTGTCCCCAGTGGCCCACGCTTCCTCTCCCTCCTCTTCTAGGGATGGCTGCTGTCCCCAGGCCTCCCCAGCACCCCCTCCTCATGGAGTTAACAGTTGATCTGAGGGAGGTCACGTGCCCTGGCACTACACACACTGTGCACTGCCCCAAGATATCATGGGCACCCACCTGCCTGGGATCCCTAATCAGGGCTCTTGGTGGCCACCTCGCAGGGGGAGTGCGTGGGCTCCAAGAGGGCAGGGAGAAGCAGAAACACGTGGCAGAGAGCACATGGTTCCTGCCATCCCTCCAGGCCTTCTTGTTTTGCCAGAATGAGCGGGCAGGCTCTCTGGGTGTGAGGTGGCTAGGTTGGCTTTCTCTCCTGGAGCTGAAAGACACCCGAGAATTCTCTCCCTAGCAGCTACCATGGCGGTTAAACGATCAGGAGCTGCAAATGGCCTTTCTGAATGCCGCCTGGGCAGATGGGACAGGGTAGCACCTGGTTCTGCACCCAGGGAAGAAGCCTGGCCCTGGCCCCCATGGGGTCACTGAGGGGCCGTGGGCAGAGGCTCCTCCCAGGGTCCCTGGGACATCTCAGGACAGCCCGTCTCACTCCTGGGCATGCAGAACCTGCCTGGCACCCAGGAGGTGTCTGGCCATTCCATGTGACTTCTTTCCTAGTAACCCTGGCCTGGGAGTGGTTTAGTGCTGTCCCATTTTACAGATGATGAAATCAAGGCTGGCAGAAGCTGAATGCTGGCTGGGGTAGGGTGCAGAGGGGAGAGAGGGAAGTGAATGGAGAACCAGGCCTAAGGGACATGCCCTCTGCATCCCAAGGCAGGGGAATGCCCCCCCCCCCAGTTCATGTATGAACACACCCGTGCTTCCATGCACACAGTGAGACACACAGCTCCCAAGCATGCCACACCAGGTGCACCTGCACTCCCGCACCCAATCACAGTGGGAAGGCAGTAGGACGTGGGGTGGGGCACTTAGGAAGAGGGAAGGACCTGGCCGCTTCACCTAAGAGCCTAGGGCAGGGTCCCAGGGCTGACACCCTCCAGAGAGGCTTGTGAGGGCACCTGGGTGGCTTTTTGCCCACCTGGGAAATGGCTGCGAGGGTCTCTGCCTGCCCTCCCTCCACGTTTGTCCTGGGCAGGATGAGGACTCTCCAAAAAGGGCTCTAGGAAGCCAGCACCGCTGCCGGCCTAGCGACCCGGCTTCCTTCTTCCATGTCCCTGGCTCAGCCCTCAATGCAGCTCAGAGCCGGGGGACCCATGGCCTGGGCAGGAAAAGCTCTGGGAGGTATCTGCTTCAGTGGTGGAGCTCCCGCTGCACCAGGTCTCTGAGCCCCTTCCTCCCAGGGCCCCCACCATCTCCACCTGGGCCCTGGCCCTCTGGCTGAACTGGCAGGGTGGGGGTCAGTGGAGGTCAGCACAGTGGATGACTTGCGGCTGCCCTCACCCCTGTCCTTTCCGCCCAGCGGTCTCCTGTGTGCCCACCCCCTCCCCCGCTGGGGTGAGGCACGGGCTGACAGGAAGCCCCCCCCCCCAACTGTTGGTCTGGGCAATCAGATAATTAGAGTTAGGGCAGGGGTGGGGAGACAGTGGGGAGAAGGAAAATAAACTCATGCCCGAGCAGCAGCTGCCAAGGGCCACCTCACCCTGCTCTGAGCTCAGTCCCCTCTGAAGAGGAGCCCTCAACCCAGGTGCCCTGGAGGAAAGGAGGGAAGGGGGCAGAGGGGAGGGGAGGGAGGAGGGAGGGAAGGCGAAAGCTCCAGAAAGCATAGAGATGAGAAAAAGCCCTTCGTGCAAACATCTCAGCAAAGCCCCTGCTAAGCGCCTGGGGACCCTTGGCCCAGGGCTCCCCAGATTTCAACTCAAGCTTCCACACAGCCCTGCCCCCACTCTCCACAGGCAGGGCTTCCGACCCTGGCTGATGCCTGGCTCTTGACCCACAGGACCCAGCCGAGCAGCTGGTGGGGGGGGGGGGGGGTCAGGAGGAGCCAGGAGGGGTCAGGCTGGGCTTCAGGGGTTCCTGGGAGCATCCCCTGGCTCCTTCAACTCCCCAGCAGATGATGCAAAGTCACCACCTTCCTTGCGCCCGTTCACAGAGGCCACCAGCTGCACAGGCTGGAGCCAGAGAGATCTGGGCTCAGATACGAGCGCTAGCATGACCTCCTCTTTGCTCCTTCATCTCTCCGTCTGTGAAATAGGGACACTAAGCCTGATCTTGGAGACTACAGATGACTTCATGTGGTCGTATTACTTCCATTGAGTGGATAAGAAAACAGTGCTGCTGAAGATTACCGCTCTTAAATGCAAGTTGGGCAAAATCTATATTGGAACCCAAGTCTCCAAGACTCCAACCAGCTTTCTGATTCTTCTCCAGCTGGGAGCTGGGAGGGGATGTCTGGCAGATGCACTGCTTATGCAAATGTTTGGGGATGCCTGACAGCTTCTCAGATGAGCACACAGGCCACCTGGAATGGCCCTGACAACGGTGGCCCCAGGTGCCTTGTGCCAGGGGAGCCTAGGACACAGTCAGTCCCTGGAAGCCCCTGCTCCAGGCTCTTTGGTGAAGCAGCCCTGTCCTTCCCTCTTCCTAAGTGCCCCACTCCATGTCCCATTGCCTACCCACTGTGATTGGGTGAAGAAGTGCAGGTGCACCTGGCGTGGCATGCATGGGAGCTGTGTGTCTGTGTTCATGGAAGCACGGATGTGTCAAACATGTACTGGGGGGAGGGGTTCTGTGTGTGTCCAGCTTCATCTTAATGACATGTGTGTGGCTGTTTCATACCTATGCGCTATTGAGTATATAAACTGCTTATGATATGTCTACCTATAGAGTGATCTGTCCCTAGTGTGCAAGAGAAACTGGCAGACCATGTGCAGGGCTACTTGTGTGGCTGTGGGCGTTGCTGGCCTAGATGCACCTGCCGCATGTGGACGTACCTGTGGCCAGGTGTGGGCAGCCTTGGCTTCCACAGAGCATCAGGTGATTTGGGGGATCCGAGACAAGTTCCCTCTTCTCACCATCTCCATTCCCCTTCCTTCTAATGAGCTGGGTAATCCTTGAGAATGTTCCGGGACTGGGGCCCCTCTGGGGAGGGAGAGACAGAAGCTGACCGCAGCACCTGACAGGCAGTCAGAAATGGGGTGGGGGAAGCGGCGTGTCTGCTCAGGGGAGGCCAAGAGAGGGGAATGGTCCCCAGAAACACAGCCCAGGCGCCTCTAGGCTCCCCTAGCTTCTGAGCCTCAGGCTTCCGCTGTCCCCATCAGCACACCCCCCTCACCTGGGGAGCCAGGACGCCAGCTGGGCGTGGTGCCTAAGGCTTACAGGGCGCTTCGAAGATTGCGCGAAGGCCTGGCGAGATGGTTCTGAGAAGAACCAGGACTGGGACAAGAACTCAGGTCTCCGGACGCCGACCTCTGCGGTGACCAAGCTGCTGGCGGGCGCCCAACCATGCCCGGGCACCGCAGGGACACCCAAATCGGACTTCCGCGCCCCGCGGCTGCCGCTACTGGAGCCGGGCCTCACCTGGGCCCCACGCGCACGGTGGACGCCTGTTGTACAGAGCAAGCCCCCTCCGTAAATCCTCGGGGCGCCGAGTCCGCGGGAGCCGCAGCGCTGGCGCCGGATCCGTGGCGTCCGCGGGGATCCCGCTCCGCCCCCCGCGCGCGGCCCAACCACCCGGTGGGGCTCGGCGCGCTGACGTGGGCGGATCAAAGCGGCCGCCCGCGCCTTATAAAGCCTTTGCCGAGGCCGGCGCTGGAGATCTCGCCGGGAGAGCGGGCGAGCGCAGGCCCCGGGAGCCGAGCGCAGGGGAGAGCCCTCCGAGTGCGCGCCGGAGTGCGCGGGGCACCGGAGCCGGCTGCCGCCTGCCAGGCTCCCTGGCGTCCTGCTCCCGCCTCCAGCCCAGCCGAGCGCACTCGGGCCCCCTGGGAGCCGCGCTCCTGGCTCCCGGGCCGGCCGGCGCAGCGCGAGCGCCCAGAGACGGGAACCGCGGTCGCCGGAGCCCGCAGACGCTCAGGAGGACCCGTGAGGGCGGGGATCGCCCGAGGACTAGGGGACAGCGCTTCTTGCATTCTCCACGACCCCCTGGGCACCCACTCCCGGGTAAGCAAACCGAGTCTCCTCCAGACCTGCGCTCTGTAGCACCCGCGAGTTCCGCGACCGAGAGCAGCCCCGAGTCCGGGGACGCGGCCCTAGGGGCTGAGGGCTGGGGGCGCTGAGCAGTTCCCGCAGCCTCCTCAGCCCTCCTGGCCCCGGCGTCCCTCCCAGTCGGTCCTCGGATGAGGTCACGCCCGAGCCGTCCCGGGGGCGGGGGTCTTGGATCCCGCCGTACAGGGCACGAGTGAGGCTCGGCGGGAGAGGGTGGCTGAAGGCGCAGAGAACTCGCAGCTCCCACCAAACTGGGAGGTGGCGGCGGCCGCCTGGGGTTGACCATGGCTCTCCAAGGCGGCGGGGGAAGGGGCAAAAACGAGTTTATTTACAGACCTGAGCTTCAGGCTGGGGGTGGGGAGGAGGGAAGCCCCGGCCCAGGCCCCGCCGCAAGTCTGGAGCCGCCGAACATCTGGCTAAGCTCGCGCGCGAGCCCCACAACACCGTGCCCCCCCAATCCCGGCGCTGGGGTGACCCCGTGTCCCTGGCGGGCCCGGGGTAGCGCGGGAGAGCTCCCGCGTGTGCCCGGCTCACCGTTCCCAGTTCCAAACAACCCGTGTCCCGGGTGACCCGCGCCGCGGCGGAGCAGCCGCATCCTCGGAGACCTGGGACGAGTGTCCGAGCCGGCCTCGCAGGTAACCCTAGCGCAGTTGCTTGTATCGCGAGGGTCGCTACGCGGGCCGGGCCGACGGTGGCCTCCCGTACCGTGTGTATGCTGCCCCGGTGCGCGCTGCGGCTCTCAGACCAGCACCCCGCGCGCCGGGGGTAGGAGAGGCTCTACGAAGTCCCCGCCAGTGCGGCTCGGAGGGGAGGCCGCGCCGTCGGCGACGTTTCCGGAGACCGCGGCTCAAGCCTGTGGCCACCTGCCCGCGATGTGGGGCCAGGCGCGTGTCCCTCCCCGCCCGCGGCTTCAGGGGGCGCCTTGGACCTGCCCCGAGGCGCGGCGGGAGGGGCAGCTGGCTCACCCAAGACCCCATGCTGTGACGCTGGCCCACTGCGCGCCGGGCCAGAAGTCAGAGGTCGGGCGGCCCCGGGCTGAGCTCAGCGAGGCCAGGACCCAGAGGGCACTCAAGCTGCACCAGCCCGGCACGCGGATACAGGGACCCAGTTAGCGGAGGGGACTTGCCCCCAACTGCCACCGGTGGGAGGCAGCAGCCCCTCCCGCCGCAAATCCCCGCCTGGCGCCCCCTGGCGGGCCGGGGGCTCCGCGCCGCGAGTGCGTCCCGATCCGCAGACGCACGCAGGCTGAGGGTGACCCGCGGCGCTCGGCAGTCCAGGACGCTAGCGCACCGGCCAGGAATAGTCCGTCCGGAGTCACAGGCCCAGGTCAGGCGCCGCCTCCCACGGCGACGAGCTGGGTCGGCGGAGGGAGAAGCCTGGCATTGCGGGGGCCGCTCGGCAAGCTTCAGGCATAGCTGGAGGCCCCCGGTCTCTGTCCGCTGTGTGATCCTAGGGGCCGGACGCGGGTCGCCCGCTGGGGGTCTTCTTCTTCCCACCCCGGAATGCTGGGCGCTTGGAAGAGCCACCTTGGAGAGGTGGGAGCTGCGGAGAGAGACTGGCCCGAGTCTGGACAACTCGCCCCACGCCCCGCTGGGCTGGCCTTTTTCTGAGAAGTGCGGGGTGCGCCCAGGACTAGCCAAACAAAGGGCCTGGGTCCGGGCTGCGTGGAGTTGGGGGCCCAGTCCCACCAAGAGCCCCGCCCAGATCCCCAGCCTTGGGTCGGTGAGTTAGCAGCGAGCGCTTTCTGGGTGCCTGGCTGGGGACCCTCTGGAGCGGCGAGCGCGGGGGCTTCTCCTGGCTCTCCTGGCCGTGCACAAGAACGCCAGGAGGCAGTGGGATGCGGGATGCTCGCGGTGCTCGGGACGTGCCCGCACAAGCGCAAACCCGGGTGCCCGTGATCGTGGAAGCCCACGGGCGGGGGCGCAGAGTCGCAGAGCCCCGAAAGGCCGGGAGGACTCGGGAGATGTGCGCTGACGCCCACTCCGGTTTTGTGGAAGGGGAGACTGAGGCCGAGGCGGGGAGGGGACGGGAGGCGGGGTTGAAGAGTTGCGCTCGGCCGCAGAGCCCCCTGGCGCTCCAGTGCCCCAAACCCCGCGGAAAGGAATCCCTTTGTCTCTGCCCCTCCCGGAGGGAGAAGGGCTGGGGCCGTGTGCAACTCCAGGCGAACGCCAGGTGGTGGTAAATTTGGAAGAAGTTGGGAAGGGAGTTAATGAGGTGAGAATGAGGAGCAGCAAAAAAAAAAAAAAAAAAGCAGCAGCAGAGCGCAGCTCCTCGGGCCGCCGGCGGGTGGGCGGGCGGGGGAGCGGCTCCTGCGTGGCCAGGGGCGCCGCCTGGCGGTTGGCGCGGGCACCGGGCGAGCTGCCGCGCGCGGCCGCGTTCCGCAGCCCTGCCCCGCCTGCGGCCGCGCCCCCCCGACCCCCCGGAGTCTTGTAGCTAAGGGGGACCTCAGAGACCCGGAACTCTGAACTGCACAGAGCGCCTCGCCACGCCCGCTCTCATCCTCCCCTGCCCAGGCCACGAAATCCGTGCAGGGGCGAGCCCCCTCTTCTCACCGGACCCCGCGCAGGGACCCGCCGCTCACTGGCCAGCTGGACTGGCGCACCGCACGGCTCTGGGCCTCAGTGTTCTCCTTTGTGGGATGGCGCAGTGAGCGTGCCTAGTTCACGGAGCTGCTGGGAAAAGCAGCTGTTAAGGCGAAGGTTCTTTCTAAAGAGGCCGAATCACCCCGGTTTACAGAGCGGGTAGACTGAGGCCCCATAGGGACGGACAGATGCCAAGGCCACGATGACCGAGAGCAAGGGTCCATTCCTGTCCGCCTTCGGTCAGGGTGTGCGTCCCGGGAACCCCCTCCGCCGCCGTGGCTCCCAGCCGCCTGCTCGGAGCGCCTCTCCCGAAGTTCTGGCTTCTGCCTCCCAGGCCCTTCGTGCCGGCCGCCTGGGCCCCCGCAGAGCCGCGCTGGACGGACACGCCCTCGGCCGGCCGCTCTTCTTGGAGCCCCGGGGCCGTGCGGGGCGGGAGGGACGCGCGGCCTCCCCGGGCCGACCCCTCCTTTGTAATTTGAATAAACGCCTCCCCGCCCCGCGCGCCGCCTTAACCCGCCACCCCCGCTCTCCCCACTGCAGGCGGCGTGCGCGGGACGGACTCCGGCGCGGCGGCTGCAGGGTGCGAGCGCGGCGCCCGGCGTGCAACCATGAGGGCGCGGCCGCAGGTCTGCGAGGCTCTGCTCTTCGCCCTGGCGCTACACACCGGCGTGTGCTATGGCATCAAGTGGCTGTAAGTGGGGACCCCGCGGCGGCCGGGAGCGGGAGGGCCCCTGGGGGTGGCGGTGGGGTTCGTGGGCAAGCCACTCTCTAGTCTCGGCGTCCTGCTCCTCTGTCCCGGGCTGCGGAGAGGGAGCAGGCGGTGGAGGTGCCCGCGCCGCCGCAGGGGCGCCCTCGCGAGGCGCGGCTGCCTGGGCTCCCGCGTGTTTCCTTGTCAGTCGCTTCACCCTGGGGGGCGTCCTGCCGCGTGACCTTGGGCAAGTGCCACTCCACGTCTCGGAGCCCCAGTGTCCCCCTGGGGCAAAGTCAGGCAGGAATCCCCGGGCTGCCCCTGCGCACCGTCAGACGCTGGGCACACGTGCAGACAGGTCCACCCTGGGCTCTGCGCTGCTGACGGCGGGGCCCGCGGGAGAGAAGCTGCCTTCCGCGGGGCTGTGGGCCGGGAGAGAGAAACCCAGCCCCTTCCCAGAGGAGCTGCCCTCTGGGCCGGGAGAGATAAGCCCAGGCCGTAAATAACTCCACAGTGTCCTGTGTCCTAGGGGACTCCGGTGTGGGGAGGTGTTGGGGGGGCAGAGGCAGGGCGACCCTCGGGACCCGGCACCGCAAAGATTTTCCATGGGCTGGTACCCCGGGGCCTTGGAAAGGCTCCTGGGTTTGGTAGGAGAGGCCGTGGGGAGGAGGGGGCTCCCGGAACAGAGGGCCAGGGGTAGGAGACCTGGTTCTGGACTTGGGGTGGGGGGCGGGGAGCTGAGCAGATAAAACTGCAGGGGACAGACTAGGGGCGTTGCAGAGGAGCCCGCGTGGAGGGTCTGTGGATTAGTTGGAAGACAAGGAGATAGTGGCCGGCTGCCAGCAAACAGTGTGGAGGTCACCGGCCCGTCCCTCCGGGGTTGGGTTATCGATTAATTGGTGACTCGAAAGAGGAGCCCCATCTTGCTTGGCTCTGGTAGGGCCTGGGCCTCCTCCCCGGGGCAGCCGCTTCTCCCAGACGGTCACCTGCTGCTCTTGGGTGCTCTGGCCGCTGGCAGAGTCCTGGCCGCCCCCTCTCCAGTCGACCAGCTGAGGAAACTGGGGTCCAGAGAAGGGAAGGGCACACGAGTGGGCGAGTGGGACCCCCTCTGCTGCTGCCCAGAGCATTGTGGGGGCCCCCAGTGGGCAGGCTGTGTGGTGGGCCTGGACCCCGCCCCTCTGGGTAGAAGCCCCCAGCCCTGTGGGGGAGACAGCCGCACAGAAAATCCCGAGCCCAGTAGAGGAGTGCCTGGTCCCTTGGAAGGCAGGTGGCTGGGCTGGGCTTGGCAGGACAGGGGGATCTTTAGCTGCAAGGAGAGCCAGCATCCTAAGTGGGATAGGCAGCAGTAGCCGTGAGGCCTGGCGGGCTCGGGGTGGGCGTGCGGGGGATTTGGAGACATCCGGACTGCTGCCGTAGCCCCCGTCCTCATGGAGGTGACAGCCCAGGCTCTGCCTTTTGCCAAGAGAGGCGAGTCAGGCACAGAGAGGTGGAGGAACGCCCAGGGCCACGCAGCTGGCGGCTGGCGGCTATGGGACGAGCATCCGGGGCAGCCGGGCTCCAGGAGGCTAAACCTCATGGTAATGGTTAAGCTCTCACCGGAGGCGGGACGGAGGGGGTCGGGGAAGAGGTGGTGTTTAAGAACAGCGATTATATTCTGCTGTGCGCTGAATGTCTCCACCCACACAGGGCGCTCAGCCCGCGCGACATGGCGGGCACTGCTCTGAGCGCCGTCCGTGTATGGTTTCGCTCTGCCATTACCCCCATTTCACAGAAGAGAAAGGGAAGGCATGGGGCCTGTGGGTGGCAGGAGGCGGCCAGCAGTGGGGGACAGGGAAGTGCATGGTTGGGGCGGGAGGCTGGGGACTCTTCCCATCCCGGAGGCACAGCTGTCTCGGGCTTAGGAAAGGGAGCAGGAGATGAAAGGGCACCTGACCAGATGTGGCCTGGAATGCCCACCTGGTGGGTGCCCTGGGGCCTGAGCAGGTGGGAGGAGGCGGGGGGGGGGGGAGGGGTTGGAGCGGAGCACGGCTGCCAGTGGTAGGTGGTATAACCCAGGGAGCCTTCCCCTATCTTAGCCCAGCCAGGGGGGCTCTGCCTCTCTTAACTGCAGCCCACCAGGCCCCGAGATGCTCCCAGCAGATGTTAGGGGGAAACCCAGTCTGGCGGTCCAGCCCCTTTACCGCTGCCCCGGGAGGAGAGGCTGAGGGCAGTCCCAGGCTGGCCAGGAAGGCCCCCAAACCCTCCCTCTCCTGCCTGCAGGCTGAGGGCCGGGAGCAGGGCTGGGGCCTGAGGCCCAGCCTCCGCACTGGCAGCGCCCCTGCTGGGAGCCGGGCCCCAGGCCCATCATCACCTCAGCCCCTCTCAGCCTGTTTGCTCAGCTCCAGAGGAGCTGGCGGGTCCCTCGACCTGGGACAGGCTTCTCGGAGGTGACAGGAGGAGTTGGCCAGTGCAGGAGGGGCCGCTCTGGGGCGCTCTGGCTCCTACACTTGGTCCCAAACACAGGAATCGTGACTTGGCGAGGAGGGAGCGGCTCCCCGAGGCCACCCTGGGGTAGATGGAAGCACAGGAGAAGCTGGGCTTGCCTGGGTGGCCTGAAGCCTGGATCCCGCCCTGCCGGCCAGGCCACGTGGGCACCAGGATGACGCGTGGAACGTGGCAGGGGCAGGCAGAGGCCTGGCGTGGGGACCAGGGTCTCCTTGGCTTCCACTGCTCTTCTACCAAGGGCCAGCAGGGCCCAGGGGTAGAACCCCAGGCTGCCCAGCCTGGTGCAGGCGCCTTCTCTCCCTGGCACTGAAGTTAATACCTGCCCCTCCTCCCCACCCATGGCTGACCTCAGCCGTCTCCCCAGGGGGGCGGCGCCGGCAGGCGGACTGCCTACCTCTGGGTGATCCTGGCGGTGCCTGAGCCCCGCCCTGCTGAACGGTGGCGCCAGCGCTGTGGCTCTGTCATGTGTGAGTTACAGAGGGAGACCAGGGCCCAGGTCTCTTACAGGAGCCCACTGGCGGCTGCCCGAGCCGTGGCCTAAGAAGGGATGCTGACCGGGGCAGGTGCCGGCAGGGTCTGATTTTGGAAGGGGCCTCACCTGGGCTGTGGACCTCGCAGCTGCCCGTAGAACCAGGAAAGCAAGTCAGTGGTAGGCTGGGAGAGCGTGGAGGAGCCAGCGGGAGGTGACATGGCCCTGCGCGGAGGACCACCCAGGCCGGGGGTGTGTTGGTCATGCACTGAACACTGTGGAGGGGGAAACAGGCTGATAAGAGGCAGCGACTTGCCCAAGGTCATGTGGTGCATGAGTGGCCGAGCCACAGCCTGTCCCAGGAGAGCCTGGACACCCTGAATGAGAGGCACCGTGGGCCACCACGGCAGAACCGCGGGATGGCCTGGCCGTGAACTCTCTGTCCCCTCCTGTCCTTTCTTCCACCCTCTCCCCCAGGCTCTCCCCCCACTCCAACAAAGCAAAATGTTTCCAATTAGGGGGTCTGCAGAGGGAGGCAGCCAGAGAGAAGTCCACGCAGGCAACTCCCCCGCGCCCGCCCTAATCCCTGATTACCTCCCCAAGGGGGATTTAGTTCCAAGCGGTCATTACCGCTAATTACCAGACGAGTGCCTGGCCCTCCCCTGGAGTGGAGTCGGCTGCCTCCACCTGCCTGCTCCTGTGGACGCTGCTGGCACTCCCGCCCCAGCCAGCGGCTCCCTTGGCCCTTAGGGTGGGACCCTGGACCTCTGCACTGCCCTGTGTCCTCCAGGCACCTGCAAAACAGCTGCCGGGGGCGGGGGGAGTCCAGGCCCTGACCTGGGGGTGCACTCAGAGCACCTCCTCTCCCTGCCGCTGGGACCCAGCTGCAGGCTCCAGGGGCACAGACAGCACCCCTGCCCCAGAGCCACAGCAGCCAGCAAAAGGGATGAGAACTGAGAGAGTGGTTCAGAGGCCAGCGAAGAAAGCCCAGCCAAGGTGAAGGGCAGAGCAGGCCCGGGACAGGCTGTGGGCGCCCGGCCCCATGCAGGGCACAGGCGCTCTGGGAATGAAAGGCCATGTCCCTTGGGAGGGACCGACCCCTTGCTGCAGAGGGGTGCTGTGACTGGCTGGAGGATGCTGGGCCCAGCCTCAATGCCCTCATTTGTGCGAAGAGGGGGTAGTCTGGTCCAGCCCCCCACCCCCACCCCCACCCCGAGGTGTGCAGTGAGAGGCTCTGGGAGCTGAGAAGTGCCCAGATGGGGGCTGCTCCATCCCAGCAGCTCCGCACATTGTTTGCTGGGGGGAGGTGGAGAGGCTGCCTACAGCCCAGAAGCCCACTGAGGCCCTGACGATGGCCTTGGTGTGGCCAAAGCCCACCCAGCAAGGGCTGCAAGGACTTAGACAGCTGGTCCCCCGGGAGGGAAGAGCAGCGTGGCTCACCAGAAGCCGCGCTGAGGCCGCTCCTGGCCAGCCCTGTGCGGGACCCTGGCGTCCAGCTCTGTCCCTGCTCTCGGCTGGCGGGGCGGCGATGGACCGCAGCAGGGGCGGCTGCGCAGGACACCACGATTGCTCCAGCAGGCTGGGTTGTGGCGCCCTGCCACTGGCCCGGGCTTGCTACCAAGGCTCCTGGGCAGCGTGAGAAGCAGGAGGAGGTCTGTTAAGGTGTGAGTGCTTCCTGGGTCACATGTCATGTCGTCTCTCCCAGCGCTCGCCAGCCCTAGGGTGACTGTTTCCTAGTTGGTGCTCAGGGAGGGGCAGCAGTTCGCCCAAGATGAACAGCGCATGGAGGGCGGAACTTGGGCTGGAACCCAGCTTCTACTCCAGTGAGCGGGGAGACCCCATGAGTAGTCCACACTCTGCACACATCTTACTTAGGTCTCGTCGTAACCTTTGGAAGGAGAAATGATCACTTCCTCATAGCAGATGGTGACTGGAGGCCAGAAGGGTTGGGTAACTTCTGTCGGCCCCACAGCTGGCACTCCGAGCTGGGCGCTTTCCCTGCCTGTCGCCGTTGATCGGTGTATCCAGCTCTTAGGCTCTCCTTGAAGAGAGGGCCTAGGTCATGTTCATTACCAAATGAGCACAGGAGGTGCACTTTATTTCTCCAGTGAGTAGGCGAGCACATGTGTTCCTTCAGGTCCAGGAGCTGGGGGAGGGGCATTCCTGGCATGAGGAAGCCCTTGGCCTTGACTGGCTGGACAAGGGAGGCCGCCCACGGGCAGGGAAGGCCACTGAGGCAGTGGTTGTCATGGTTTCTGTCACTGAGCACTGACCACGGCACGTCCTCCCGAAGCGGAGCCTGCGCCAAGCCGTGTCCAACCTCACCCCCGAGACACTGCCAGGAGGCTAACAGCACAGAGCCGGGGAGCAGGGGGTCTCTCCAGCCCTGGCTGTGAACCCCAGGTCTCCGCCTGTGCCTGTATGATGATGTCAGCATCTGGGGCACCCGGCCGGGACTGCAGCATGCTCTCTCCAGGATCCCGTGTCCCTCCAGGGTCTCTGCTGAGCCACTGAGGGCTCTGGGTTCCAGAGGCCCGTCTGCTGTGGCTGGCGGCAGAGGATGAGTCTGGGAGGAGTCCCCTGGGGCTGTGAGGTCCCTCTGCTTCTTGGTGACGGCCTGAGAGAATGGCAGGTCCAGGAAGGACCTGGTGCCAGAGCCGTGGAACCCCTGAGCCCAGAGCAGCAGCCGGGAGGCCCTTGGGCCCTGTGATGTCATCAGGGTTGGCCCCACCTCCCCAGGCATGGGCGGGGCCAGCGCTTGCCCAGGGAGGGGCTCTGAGCTCCCTGTGCTGCCCTGCGGGTCTTCTCAGGACCTTTGAAGCGTCAGCACGCGTGGTGACTGTCCACACCGCGCGTCCCCCAGAGCCCTTTTCTTGGAGTGAGCGTCTCACCAGAACCCGGTCTGAGAAACACATTTTACAGGTGTGGTCGCCGAGGCCCAGAGAGGGGCGGTGCAGTTTTGAGGTCATACAGCAAGTTCACAGCTGCGTCTGAAGCAGAGACTCAGTTTCCCTGGCTCCAGATTGTCCCCGAGTCCAGAGGCTCTTCAGTCCTTGCACAGATCTGAGACTTTACAGCCTGAGAGATGACCTTAGCAGTGAGCCGGAGCAGGGATGAGAAGTCCCTGACCCGTGTTGCACTCGGTTAATAGTATGAGTCAAGGTCACAACTGTGATAAGCCGGCAGTGAGCGTGGTTGCCGGTCGTGACGCCGCAGTGTTGACCGAGCGATGAACAGCGGCGCCATGTGAGTGCGCCGTGAGCTGTAGGTCGGCTGCTGTTAGGGTTAGGGCCTGAGGTCCAGAGACGGGCAGTGATGTCCCCCGGGTCACACGGGGTTGAGAAGCGACCCATGGCTCTGCCAGGTGGCGTCTTGCCTCCCAGTTACCTGGCCCTGGGAGGGTCCCTTGAGGGGAAAGCTGGGACCAGAAGGGCAGGTGCAGGTCCGCTTGGCTCCTCACAGCCCTGTCTTTCCTTCTGTTGGCGGCTGCCTTTCGGCGGTGTGCAGGGCGCTGTCCAAGACGCCGGCGGCCTTGGCACTGAACCAGACGCAGCACTGCAAGCAGCTGGAGGGCCTGGTGTCCGCGCAGGTGCAGCTGTGCCGCAGCAACCTGGAGCTCATGCACACCATCGTGCGCGCCGCCCGCGAGGTCATGAAGGCCTGCCGCAGGGCCTTCGCCGACATGCGCTGGAACTGCTCCTCCATCGAGCTCGCCCCCAACTACCTGCTCGACCTGGAGAGAGGTAGGGGCTGCGCCTGCGGGCGGCGGGGCCAGGATGGCTGCAGCGTAAATCTGTGTGTGTTTAGACAGGTGGGTGGGTGAGTGCATGGAGCCATGATGGATGGACGTGCAGGTGGATGTGGCCATGGATGGAGGGATGGACAGGTGGATGAGTGAGTCAGGGCCATGCATCGATACCTGGACAATCATTCCATGCAGGGTTGTGAGTGACAGCATAAACACACACGTGCCCCGATGCATGAGTGAAGGAGTGAGTGGCACCTGCGCCGTGCTCCCAGGTTGCCACCTGCTCTGCTGAGGGTCAGGTGCAGGGGAGCTCCTTGGAGGGGAGTGTACAGTGAGAACCCTCAGGGACTGACAAGGTGTACCCAGGTGATCCCAGGCCAGGCCAACTGAAAGGCCTGTGCCATTATCCCTAGAGAGGAGAGGGACAGAAGAACGTCTCGGTGAGGACTCCCTGGAGGAGGTGGCTTCTGGGCTGGGTTTGGGGCCCCATGTAGATAGGCTTTGGGCAGGCAGAGCCCGAGGGTCCGAGTACAGCCGACAGCTGCGCAGCACTCGGCAAAGCTCCCTTCCTTCCTGAATTGCTGGCCTGGAGCCGCCTGCTCCTATGGCTAAGGCAGCCGAGGCTCCAGAGGGCACGGAGGGGACTCGCTGGAGAAGTGCTGGGCCTCGTCCCAGCCAGGACACCAGAGCCAGTGGGCGGGGTCTGCAGATTCCTTCCCCGGGGCAGCTGCCACAGAGCCCCCGAAACTGCGCCTTGCCGGACGGCAGAGGTCTGGGCGCCCGCGGGGCGCGGGGCTGTGCTCCCGGAAGAGGCCTCCTTGCTGGCTTCTGGCCTCTACTGCTGGCCACAAGTCCTGGGCAACCTTGGCTTGCGGCTGCGTCCCCTCCCACTCTGCCGTTGCGGGGCTGTGGCGGTCTCCCCTCAGGTGTCTGTGCACCCCAAATGCCCTCTTAGAAGGACACCAGCCACTGGCCTTGGGGACCCCTCCGCCCCAACCCAGTACAACCTCGCCTTAGTGCCGTACACCAGCAAAGACCTGGTTTCCTTTTCTAAAAAATGAGATTGGTTTAGTTATTTGAAAGGCAGAGTTAGAGAGAGCGGGAGAGACAGAGAGCTCTCCCATCGGCTGGTTTCTACCCCAGATGGCTGCAACTGCCAGAACTGAGCCAGGCCAGAGCTAGGGGCCTGGAGCCCCATCTGGGTCTAGATGCAGGGGCCCCAGCACTCAGGCCATCTTGCACTGCTTTCCAAGGCACACTAGGAGGGAGCTGGATCAGAAGTGGAGTGAACAGGTCTCGAACCAATGCCCATGTGGGATGCCGGCACTGCAGGCATAGGCTTAACCAGCTATGCCACAGGGCTGGCCCAAGACCCTATGTCTGCATAAACCCAGGCTTCCAGAGAGTGGGGACCCCTTGCCGGCATGTTTCTGGGGGCCACAGCTGAAGCCCCCAGGCCGTTGGTGCCCTCATCCTGCCACCCGTTCCTTGCTGGGCCCGGGGCCTGGGTCTCCGTTTCTGACAAGAGCCCCGAGCAGAAGGGACAGCGCTGTGAGTGTGCGGGGCCGGGGCCGGGGCCGTGCGTGCGGGCCCTGTGAGTGACCGTGCCTGGCCGTGTGTTTGTGGGGGACTTGGGGGAGGGGGTGACAGGCTGACGGTTCTAGTGCCAGCCCTGTCCTGGCTGACTCCACGGCGGGGGGAGGGGCGCGAAGGGGGAGGTGGGGTCCATTCCTGGCTCAGCCCCCCGCCCGGCTGACTGGCTCCCCAACCCCAGGGACCCGGGAGTCGGCCTTCGTGTATGCGCTGTCGGCGGCTGCCATCAGCCACGCCATCGCCCGGGCCTGCACCTCTGGCGACCTGCCCGGCTGCTCCTGCGGCCCCGTCCCAGGTGAGCCACCCGGGCCCGGGAACCGCTGGGGAGGATGTGCGGACAACCTCAGCTACGGGCTCCTCATGGGGGCCAAGTTTTCCGATGCTCCTATGAAGGTGAAAAAAACAGGATCCCAAGCCAATAAACTGATGCGTCTACACAACAGTGAAGTGGGGAGACAGGTAACCACCCACCCCACCCACCCCAGATGGTTGTGCGTGTGCCATTGGCCCAGAAAGGGTCCACCCCGTGTGCCCCGATGTGGGTGGGGGGAACGGGCCCTGGTCGGCCCACACCTGATATGCCTCCGACCTCCTTCAGCTCTTCCCCCTCCAGCTGCTTGGGGCTTGCCTGCCTCCTCCTCCAGGCAGCCCACTAGGATTTGGGTTGTCTGAGCAGAAGGAGCACTGAGCTAGGAGCCAGGGACTCTGAGTTCTGGCCTTGGCTGTGGCGTGGAGCTCACTGAGGAGCTACCCTGGGCATGCCCCCTCCTTTCTGGCCTCAGTTGTTCCATCTGGGTAATGGAGGGAGTCTGGTGTCCCACCAGCTCTTCCTCTGGGTGTGGAAAGGGCCGTGGGCAGCAGAGTCATCTCCTGGGGCTGACCGGGGACCCAGCCTGGCCCAGCCCGGCCCCCCCAGCACAGATTCCTGCAACACCCGTTACTGTCCTCATTCCAGCAAGGTCGGGCGGGCGAGTGCGTAGTGGATGAGCAGACCTCTAGTTTGTTGGAAGTAGAGAAGGAGGCAAATTCGCAGGAGTCAGTGTTGCAGACACTGTCGGGCGGCCAACAGTTTCTCTCCCCCTGGGCCAGGCGTGTTGCCCCCTCTTCCCGGGTGAGGGCGCGGCTGGCTCCTCCCCCAGCACTGCCTCCTCACACACTCCCCTCTGCACCGTTAGCCCCATCTTGCAGAAGTCCTGGATGAGGCCGTGGGTTCCAAGTCCAGGGGCTGCTCTGTCCTGGCTGTCTCTCACTGGAAACCTTCTGGGCCACTCTTGGCCAGTTAGGGACATTGAGGCCAAATCACACCATGGGTCTGTAGCAGAGCCTGGCCAGGGACTCAGGACTCAAATCTCCCAGGCCTGGCCCCCTGCCCCCCGCGCCCTTGGAAGCCCAGGGGGAGCCTTTGACCAGCCCCCATCCTGGAGCCCAGCCTCCTCCACTCTACCCTGGGGCCAGCTCTAGCCCCCTGCTGCCAGAGCACAGCCCTCCTGGCCCCAGGGCAGCCCAAAGACGCCACATCAGGGCCCCCTGGCCACGGTGTGCGGAGCTGCGTGAGGATTAGATGGGTTCGGCGCACGGGGCATCGACACAGCTCCAGGCCCCTTCCCCTTAGACCAAGGATTGCACGCGGCGTCCGTGTCCCGGGGGACTCAGGCGTGCCCGATGCTTGTGGGGCAAATCCTAGGTTTTACACCCAGATACTCCCTGGGTCTCCACCTGCGGGCCCTGGGGAGGGGGCAGGAGCCTCAGGACCTCGGCCAGCTCCCTCCTTCCCGGAGTGGCTCTGGGCAAGTTCCCGCCTACTCTGCCTCAGTTCCCCCAACCCTCTGATGCAGGTGGACCCAATTGACCCATGGGGGGGGGGGCACAGGCCTGCACAGCGGTAGCCGCTTGCTGGTTCATTTGAAAAGCAGAACTGAAGGTACCTACCTCCTGCCTCTCGGGACAGACGAGGAAGTTGAGGCCTGGAGTCATTCCTGAAGCCCGCGCCCCCGAGCCTCCCTCACGGCCCCAGTCCCCACCGCAGCACGTTTTTCAGAACTGAAACTGACTTCACTGTGCCAGCTCACAACCCGTCTTGTACGGGTCGCCCTGGTGACACTCGGCCACCAGGAACAGGGCCTGCTGCAGTGGCCGGTGCTTGCTCGGGTGAGCCCTCGCGCCATGGGCAGGAAGGTGTCCCCAAGCTTTCCCCGTGCCCCCTCCCTCCCGCGCTTGTCCCCAGTCCTCCCCACACCCTGCCTTCCTTTGCTGCCTCTCTCCCTCTCTCCAGCAAGCGTTTAGTGAGCCCCGCTTGTGTGGGACATTTCAGGGCCATGGCTTTTGGGGTCACCTTCACTCCGGGTTCAAATCCCAGCTCCAGCATTTCCTGGCTGTGCAGCCCTGGGCATGAGCCCTGTCTCTCCTTAAAGTGGAAGGGAAGCGCCATGTGACAGGCGCTGTTGTCCTTGCAGATGCCACTGCCCCTGCCCTCCCCACTGCTCCCCTGTGGGAGGAAGACCCACGGCAGCACCCTGCGTGCCGGCAAAAGCTCGCCCCCTGGAGGCCAGAGCGGGCCCTGCCTCCCTGCCCTCCCCCAGCCACACAGTGGGTGGGGCCGGGGCCCCCAGGGCAGCCAGGCCCCCGAGGAGGCTGTGGCCGCCCAGCCCAGCGCCCTCCCCTGTCTGCAGGCTCTGCGTGCCTCTCTGGAAGTGAAGTGTAAGTGCCACGGGGTGTCGGGCTCCTGCTCCATCCGCACCTGCTGGAAGGGGCTGCAGGAGCTGCGGGATGTGGCCGCTGACCTCAAGAGCCGCTACCTGTCGGCCACCAAGGTGGTGCACAGACCCATGGGCACCCGCAAGCACCTGGTGCCCAAGGACCTGGACATCCGGCCCGTGAAGGACTCGGAGCTCGTGTACCTGCAGAGCTCGCCCGACTTCTGCATGAAGAACGAGAAGGTGGGCTCCCACGGGACCCAGGACAGGTAAGGGCCTGTCCTCAGCCGGCGTCTGGGGGATGCTGTGGGGAGGGGCCGGGGCCTGGGGGCCTGGCTGTACCTCTCGCTGCAGTGGAGGCTGGCAGGGGCCCCGCCGCCCCCCATGGGAAGGGACGCTGGCTCGCTGGGAAAGAGGCTGCTGGCCAGGAAGTGGGTGCCCATTGGAGGAGGGGGCGTGCCATCGGCAGGTGCAAAGGGCGGGGGCGGCGGCCAGCCCAGGGGTGCCCTGCAAAGCTGCAGCACTGATCGAGGGCCTCCTGCCTCCTCCCTCGTCCCCCGCCGCCACCGCTGCTGTGAGCTCTTCTCAGGCACCGGGGCTTCCCGAGGACCCTGTGTGTCTGAGCCAGGCTGGGGGTGCTTACAGCTGGCCCCAGTGCAGGAGAGAGGCAGGGAGCCCACGTGGCTGCAGACCAGTGTGTGGGAGGCGTGGGCTCTGCAGAGGGCCAGTCCTGAGCGTGGGTCCCGGAAGGAGTGTTTCGGTGTGCACCGTGGGCCCGGGGCCTGCCCCTCTGATTCACAAGCACAGGACATCCTCAGGGCGCTGAGGCCCCGCGCGGCCCAGGGCCTGGTGCAGCCCGAGTTCCCCCGAGGGGTCTGCCCCGGGAACTCTTCCATCAGGGAGCCAGCAAGCCAGTGTGCGCAGGGCTCGGAGCAGCCTGAAGCTGAGCGCGGGTGTGTGCGAACGTGTCTGGCACATTGTTGGTGTCCAGCCAGCATCTGCTTCCTCTGAAGCCGCGTTCTTGCCTCCGGCGGGGGAGGGCCGGCTGGGGGGCTTGGTGAGGAAGCCCCGGGCTCCCATCTGGAGGCCACATGGAGGGGTCAGGCCCAGTGAGGGTGGAGCAGGTCAGGCCGGGGAGAGGGGCCGGAGCTTGAGAGTCTGTGCCCAGGCAGCCGGGTGGGTGTGATGGGAGGAGGCGGCTGCTTCTGGAATGCACAGGGACTGGGGAGGTAGCGGAGGACCCCAGGGCAGAGGGGCTCCCTGAATCTGTAAGCGGCTGTGTGTGTGTATACCAGGACGGGCATGGCTCCCCCCTAGCTGTGTGAACCTGAGCAAACCCTTTGCTGTTCTGGGACTCAGTCTCACCATCTGTGCAATGGGTGTGCTGGCCCCAGCTCACAGGCTTAGTCAGCTTAGTCATCTCCAGTGTCACTCCCCCAGCTTCTCCCTGTGCAGGGCCAGCCAGTCTCCCTCCCGCCCTCAGGCCACCAGTGCCACCGGTCCCACCGTACTCTGGGACTTGCCCCCACGCCACCCCCACCCCTCTGTCTCAGCCTGCCCCCCACAGGTTCCCTGCCGGGCTCAGCCTCAGTCCTCAGGGGCTCTGGCTGTAGGAACAAGCGACCCCTGTGTCTCGGGGGCTTGCATCAGTGAACCCTGCCTTTGCCCTGCTCCGTGGGGCTGCAAGTCACCTGCTGCTCCGCCTGGTTCTGGCAGTCACAGGGAGTGGCGGCTGTGGCAGAGGGAAGCCCAGGAGCAAGGGCAGCACAGAGGGGCCCGACTCAGCCTCGACATCAAGGAGGGCTTCCTGGAGGAAGGGAGATGCGGGATTGGCTAGATTGGGGGATGTGGGGGTGCAGAGGGTTGTATGTGGGTGAGTTTTATGAGCTGTGCAAGGCGTGTGCACGGTGGTGTCACTCTAGGGCTGGCCCCCCAGCCAAGGAGGGCACCTGCTGCCCTCCTCACCTCCAACTGGGGGCAACTGAGGCACCGTCAGCAGCCACCCTTCCAGACCCCGGCCCTCTTGCCACAGCCCTTCCTGGGCCCCCAGCCACTGGTCCTGGCCACCGCCTCAGGCCTGGTCTGGCCCAGAACATGATGGGGCTGCGGGGACTCATGGGTGTGGGTGTTGAGCGGCTGAACAAGCACAGAGGGGCAGAGTGACAGCCTTGAGTGACAGGCCCAGCGCGGCAGAGCCAGGGTTGGAAGCACGTCCGTCTGGCTTGCCCGCACCTGTGACGCAGGCGCTGCCTCCTCCCAGCCTGAGCTGGGCCTCTCCCTGCCTCCTCCTCCCCAGCCTCTCCTGGGGTGGTTCCTGTGCCCCATCCTTCCCCCTCCTCTGCGTGTTCCAGGGGAACCCCCTCTTCCAGGGAGCCCTCCTGCACACTCACAGACCCCGTGCTCGTCCTGGGCACACTCCCTCTGCATTCTGTGCCCTGGTTTCCACGTTGGTGCACAGGACGATTCGATGCAGTGACCCCTAGGGCTTGCCCACCTCATACCTTCTGGGACTTCTCTGTCCACACGGCCGTGGGGACCTTTTTGTCCCTGCCCGGCTCCCAGGCCTCAGGGCAGCCAGAGGGACCGCCGGTCTGAACGGGTGTCTTCAGCAGACAGGACTGATGGTGACCCAGGACACTTCCAGTTCCCAGGACCTGCGGGAGGGGTTCAGGAAGTGTGGCAGCCCCTGGCAGGCCTGGGGCAGGGGGCGGGCAGGGAGAGTGAGCACTGGCCGTGGGGTGGCACCCCTGAGTTTAAACCTGCTTGTCCCCAGGCTCCCGTGGGAGCGTGAGCAGTGGGGTCATTGACTGGCGGGCAGCGCCTGTCTCGCAGGAGGCAGGTGGCCCCAAGACCCCCTGAGCCTGAGGTCCCTGGGGCCCCAGAGGCCTGGCCCTCAGTGCAGCAGTGGGTGCTTCCGGATTTGCCCTGGGATTCTAACCGCAAAACTGATCTTGACATCTGTGATCAGTGAAGATTAATGCATGGAGTCCGGGGTGGTACACAGACTGGTAGCACAAACGCCCATGTCCATATCGGAGTGCCTGTTCAAGAGCCGGCCGCTCTGCTTCCGCTCCAGCTCCCTGCCATGGCCTGGGAAGGCAGCAGAGGATGGCCCAGGTGCTGGGGGCCCTGCTTCCTGTGTGGGTAGAGTCCTGGCTTTGCGCTGGACCAAGCCTGCCCATGGCAGCCATTTGGGGAGTGGACCAGTGGTGGAAGAACTTTCTACTTCACTCCCTCTTATCACTCTGCCTTTTTTTAAAAAAAGATTTTATTTATTTATTTGAGAGGTAGAGTTCCAGACAGTGAGAAGAAGAGACAGAGAGAAAGGTCTTCCTTCTGCTGGTTCATTCCCCAAATGGCCATAATGGCCGGAGCTGCACTGATCCGAAGCCAGGAGCCAGGAGCTTCTTTGGGGTCTCCCACGCAGGTACAGGGGCCCAAGCACTTGCCATCCTCCACTGCCTTCCCCGGGCCACAGCAGAGAGCTGGACTGGAAGAGGAGCGGCCAGGACTAGAACTGGCGCCCATATGAGATGCAGGCACCGCAGCCGGAGGATTAACCTAGTGCGCCACGAGGCCAACTCACTCTGCCTTTCAAATCCATCCATCAATCAATCTTAAAAAAAAAAAAAAAAGAAACCAAAAAAGACATCTCCAAGACAGCAAAAACAGCCCTGTCATTTGGATAGCAGCTTATTGGAAATACAGGGAAAGCCAGCAGTGGCTCGGGTAGGAGAATGGCTTAGCATCCCCCCTCGGCCCTTCCAAGAGGGGCCGCGAGCGCTCACCGGCCTGCCCTCCCCCGCAGGCAGTGCAACAAGACGTCGAATGGCAGCGACAGCTGTGACCTCATGTGCTGTGGGCGCGGCTACAACCCCTACACGGACCGCGTGGTGGAGCGGTGCCACTGCAAGTACCACTGGTGCTGCTACGTGACGTGCCGCCGCTGTGAGCGCGCCGTGGAGCGCTACGTGTGCAAGTGAGGCCGCGGGGGCGCCGGCCCCGCCCTCCCGAGACGCCCCGTGGATTCGCCCCGGAGCGAAGGCCAGGTGCCGGGCGGTCGCGGGAGGCCGCTTGCAAGCCACCAGCACCCGGGGGCCTGGCCACCCTGGAAGGAAGGCCCGGACTTCAAAGGAGACCGACAGGCTTAAAAATAGCCTGGCAGCGGGGGCCCTGCAGTGCCCGCACGCTGCCTTCCAGGCTGCTCCGAGGAGCCGGGCGTGGCACCGGGGAGACTGGAGAGAGCCCCGCTCGGCAGGGGTGCGCACGGCTCCCCGGCCCCGCCCAGGGCCCGCCACATGGAACCACTAGTTTGGGTTGTACATTTTTTTTTCTCTTTTCTTCCTCTGGGGTGTGGGAGCTACAGAAATATTTATAAATCATTGCTTTTTCTTTGGGGTGGCTTGGCCTCAATTCCTCTTTATATATTTTATATATATATATATATATAAATCTAAAAATATATATAATGATCTATATTTTAAACAACAAGCCTCTAAAACAGCTGTATGAAATAAATGCTGAGTGCGCCCCCGCCCCGAGCCCGCCCCTACAGTTTCTGGCTTCCTCGGGTGACCCGGGGCTGGCGGGGACTCCGTGGTTTCCGGGCAAGGCGGCCTCTGACTGATGTCCCCGCACCGCCTGCCCGCCCTGGCCCTGGTCCCCCTGAGAGATCTCTTGGTCAAGGGCAAGGACAGATGTCTTGAAACATAAGCCCGGCTGGCAGCATCTTTGTTCCTCAGGGACACACACGCAGGCGCGGGCACTGCTCAGCTCCCTGCAAGAGAATCCCCCATCCCCCCACCCCAGGAGTTGGCCCCAGTGGGGTTCCCGTGCTCCCCAGCCTCAGTTTCCCCATGGTAAAACGGCATGGCAGTGGTTGAGGCCATCTGTGCCGGAGCTTGGCTTCTGGCTCCGTTTTGGAGTGGAGCCAACAGGATTTGGCCTCTTTTTGTGCGTGGGGTGAGGGGAAGGAGGGCCGGGGGAGGCTGCCTGGATTTCGGCCGGAGCCTCTGGAAGGATGGAGGGGCAGAGGTCCGAGCAGATGGGGCGGAGAGGGGCTCGGGGCTCCAACGTGGACACGTGGGGACTGCCATGCGGATCCGGATTCAAGGGGAAATTCTGAGGAGCCCAGCTCCCCTGGTGGGAAGGGCTGGGGACAGGCCACCCTCACCCTGGGGGTCCGGCAGGTGGAGAGGGAGCACAGGGACCGTGGTGCCACCCCAGTCTCAGCTTCGCTTCCTGCACGACGCCGGCCCTGATAAGCACGGGGGTGACAAGCGGGGCGCCCTCAGTGCCTGGCCAGTGCCCCCCAGTGGAGGCATACCTTGCTCCGCCTGTGGGGTGACCGCCCAAACCCCAGCACCTAAGAGAACTCTAGGCAGCAGCTGGAGACAGTGGCATGGGGCGGAGCCTCAGAGCCTGGGCAGGATGTGTGTGTGTGTGGGTGGGTGCAGCAGGCATTCCCAGGGGTGGGATGCCATGGACGCAGCCCCAGGACTGGCCAATCCAGGGGGTGGGAAGAGGGCAGCTTCTGTGGCTGTGGGGGGTAGGGGGTGGGAGCAGAGACAGAATCCAGGCTAGAAGGAGCAGGAAGATAAATCTCGTGGCCTCTGCTGTTTGCAGATGAGGAAATTCAGAGGTGGGAGGGCCTTTCCTGTGCTCACAGAACTGATAAGGGGCTGGGGGCTGGGGGCTCCATGGGGTGGGACTTCCACAGGGCGGGGAGTGGAGCCCGCTGGGCGCTGGGCGGCGCCAGCCTCCGCCTCCTGGAGCTCACGGTCCCTGAGGCTCAGGCCTCTTGCCCTGCTCCACAGGCTCCACTGGGACCAAGCACCCATCCCTAAGGTCCGGGTGGGCACACAAGGCGGCCCGTGTCATCCGGTGTCTCCCCAGGCCGCCCTTCTGCTCCAGCCCCAGGCAGGCGGCTCACCTGCAGCTCAGCTCTGGGCCTCTGCTGTTCTCCCCCAGGCCCGGGTGCCCTGTTCCCTGCCGGAATCCACTCAGCCTTCACGCTTTCCACCAGGCCTCCCAGCCTCTGGGTGGAAGGGATCTCTCCCGCCCCAGGCTCCCACAACCCTGTGACCCTTTAAAGCAGCCACAGAGGAGCACAGCTAATGTACTTGTCCTCAGGGGGCCAGCTAATGCCTTCTCGCAGGGCGCAGGTGAACGGCTCCCTCCTCCAGGAAGCCCTCCCTGACACCCTCAACTGGGCCTGGGACTTCCTCTGGGTTCCCACGGCCCCCGTGCTCCCACCTCGTGCCACGCCGAGCCAGGGTTGAGAGGTCTATGTTGTCTGTCACTTGCCTCCCCCACTGTCTGGGGCTTCCCACGGGGCCCAGGGCCTGAGGGTGGCACAGACAGGGCTGAGCATAAAACAGGCCTCAGAGTGTTGGAGCTGGGGGTGTCCTCCTACCCAGGACAGGCAAGTGGGGGGATGGCTTCCAGGAAGGGGGCCACGTGAGCTGAAAGCACCTGCTGTGTGCACCCTCCCACACGGCCCCATCTGGCCACAGAGGAAACCAGGCCTTGAGCCCAGCTGTGACCTTTCTCCCTGGCCAGGAGGGGAGCCCCTGCCTCAGTAGGCCTGGGTCCCTGGCACTGGCCAGTCGCACACCCATGACCAAGCCCTGTCCCCTTCTGGCTGGCCGGGGAGAGGAGGCACTGGGCAGGTGGGGGTAGGTGGGGGTGGGGCCTCAGGTGTCCTGGCACCTGGGGATCCCAGAGGAAAACCCCTCAACCACAGGCCCCGGCACCGGAAGCCAACCCAGAGCATCCAAGGGCCCAGGGTTGGATCTCTGGTGGCTGAATTCCTGTCCCAGCAGGAGCCCCCGACCCTGGCGGGCCTGGAAACCGCCCGCCAGCCCAGTGTCGGTGCCGACAATATCACAGGCCGCTCTGAGCCAGTGTGGGAGGCTGGCTGCAGCCGGGGGAGAGACAGCCTGGGGAGAGAGACAAGAGGACGGCAGAGAGGAAACAGGAACTCTCGGAAGGAGGGAGAGATTAGTCTGGTGGGAAAGCGGAGACCGGACAGATAAGGCACAGGCAGGGGAGAGGACACAGTGGCGGGTGGGCGGGCAGGGCGGGGCAGGGCAGGGGCTGGCCGAGCCGAGCCGAGCCGGCCGGGCCGGGTCTGCTATCCATGATCACGGATGCCAGCTGCCAGGTAGTTCGTGTAGGCCCCACTCAGGATCCCGGACCCAAGACAGGCTGGAGCGGGCAGGTGGGCAGCGGGGGAGCCCAGCTGCGTTTCCCCCTCTCCTGCTGTGTGGCTCCAGGCAACCACGGACCTTCTCTGGGTGTCTGAGTTCCCACAGCCGTTCTGAGGGGCAGGGTCCCGTATTGTGTTTCTGGGCTCAGAGAGGGCAGTGACCAGGCCAAGGCTGCAGAGCAGTTAGCGACAGAGTGGGACAGAAGCCCCAGCTGGCCTGCCTGAGCCCGGAGCCTGCTCACAGCCTCCCCCGGGGGCATCCCGGGGGGAGCTGGCCCAGCCAAGCAGGCAGTGAGTCTGCAGCATCAGGGTGGCCTGGCAGTGGGAGGTGCCATTCAACACCAAGTGGCTCCTGATGTCCGTCGCAGGGGCAGGCAGTGCAGAGCTGAGTGGTTGGGGGGGAGGGGCGGCGGAGAAACACAGGTGCCCTGCAGAGGGCCAATGCCACATGGCTGTTACAGCACAGAGGAAGGAGGCAGAAGACAGCAGGGCCTGGGGCCCTCAGGGGTAGAGAGGAGAAAGAAGGCTTCACAGAAGAGACGCCATTTGTCCCGGAGAGCTGACCTGGACTGGGGGAGACGGCGAGGGAGGCGGGGAGGGCTGGGCGGCAACAGGGCGTGTCCACAGGACGCCAAGCAGTGGGTGAGGCTGGCGTGCAGGAGCAACTGCGGCCCACGCCCGGCTGCCTCAGGCGCCAGACTGGTGCGTGAGAGCCAGGGTGGCTAGGACCACCCCCAGTGGGGTGCTGGGCCGGCCGCCGGCCGCCCCCGCAGAGGCTGGCTTCAGGCAGAGCGGTTTAACAGCCGCGCGTTTCACGGGTCCCCCTGCTCCCGTAGCCGGGATCAATATCCGCCTGGCTCGCCGGGCCGCCCGGGGCTGCCCCACACACTCTCCTTATTAGCCCCTTGGTCCCCATTGCCTCACCTGCTCGGCTCCAGGGCAGAGGGGCCAGGGGCTCTGGTGGCCAGGAGGAGGGGGTGACGGCTCAGGACAAACATCCACGCATACAGGAGGACCCAGTGCAGCGTGGCGTCCCCTGGGGCTGTCTGTGAGGGGCAGGGACAGCAGCGTGCCAGACACCCCGACCTTGCAAAGGCCCCTTCCAGCTCAAGGTTCCAGAGTCAGCTTCTGATTCCAGCCCTGCACCCTGCGACGCCGCCCCGCCTGGCTTAGGGAGCAGGCGCAGCTGCGGGGAGTCTAACCTGTCTGAAGCTGTGAGCACCCAGAGCCATCTCCCTCTGCATTTCGTCACCTGGAGCGTGAGAGTAACCTCGGCCCTTTTCTCCCCTGCTCCTCCCAAGAGCTGTCCTCGCTGGAGGTCACATCAGGGCTGGAGTGGCAGGCGGGAGACCCCCGAGGCAGACCCTGTGTCCCTGGAGCCCTGGCAGCTCTCTGGACTGTTCTGGGCAAGAGAACAGGCGACCCGGGCACAGTCCGATCCAAGGGTGGCCCTGGGAATGGCTGCTGGTCCTGGACGGTGCCCTGGGTGTCTGGGATGGAGGTCACGTGGTGCCCCAGTGGCACCTGCCAGTTGCGCTGTCTGGGGACCCCTCCCCCTGGCGGTTTGTATCCTTCCCCTTTGCTGCCCTGCAGGGAGGGCCAGCCAGCCCCTGAGGGCCCCTCTCCTCGCCCAACAGACTCCATTGTCCCCAGGGGTAGGGGCCAGTTTCTCAGGCTGCCCATGACAGTCCCTGTCCAGGCCAAAGCCCAGGTTTGGCTTCAGATCCACTTTGGGGGCAAAGCAAAAGAGACCTCCTACCTCCTGCACACACACACACAAACACACGCACACACGGCTCACAGCTATTCCACCAACCAGGGAGATCCTGTCGCTGGCTATCACCATCTCTCCAAAGCACGGACTGGACAGGGGCCCCCACAGGCTACGGCAGGTAGGGGCGTGGCCTGTGGGAGCCACACAGAGTTTGAACTTCCCCTTACAAGCTGAGCGACCCTGCACACACGCACAGCACCCCGAGGTCCACTCTCTCAGCTGTAAAATGATTGAACACGGGCTTGTCTTGACCGTTCAGGGTTGTCCTGGTGCTCGGGAGAGGCCAGGCCTGTAAGGTCTCCAAAGCTGGCCCCAGAGTGGCCGAGGCTCAGGGATGGCAGAGCCAGGGACCTTCAGACTCTGTGAGAAGCCACAGCAGGCCCCTGAGGCCCCAAGCGCTGCCCTCACTCACGTCTGCCCTGATGGCAGGAGGAAGTGCAGGCAGAGGAAAGCCTGGCCCAGACCTGGGGCCCCGGGGCCTCTCCTGCCCACCCTGTCTCCCATGTCTTCCCGCTGTCTTCCATGGCCAGCCCTGTCCTGGTCTGGTCCAGAGCTGG